TACTCCAGGCACCTGTCTCCTCTCATCAGCACATCCGATTTCAGGTTGATGACGGTGAGGACAGGGAGCTTGACACACCTCAGGTGAGTCCCACCTGACGCCCTCCTGGGGGCCCACACACTGCTCGGGAAGGTGCATCGAGGGAAGCTGCTCTGCACTAGGGGTGGTGAGTTACAGCCAGCCAGCCGGACAGTGTGACCCTGTAGCTCAGACCGCCTTGCTCACAGTCCCAGAGGGCACAGAGGGCCTGCAATTTAGTTTGTATTCAAGATGTTATTGAATGGATGAAGGTGATTAGCACCCAGTCACCTTTCCTTAGTCCAGATTCCTACACCCAGCAAGAACCCCATCCGACTGAATCACAAAAAGGGTTTTTCTGATCATAGGTCAGATACTTGTTACATCCGTGAGGAAACTGTAGTACATTACTCCAGAGATTAGTTTTCTCCCAAAACCCAGGTAGACCAAGTGGGCATTTGCTTTTAGGAAACAAAGACCCGGTCTCATCTGTTTTATAGAACCACCACAATTAGAAACTGCATCCTCTGCTTCCTATTCCAAAGTATTTACTGCTGCATAAGAAAGAGACACAGTACCTAAGTGGTAATAAGAAACTCTAGTCTTTGTAAGGAGCTTGGTTTCAGTTGTTCAAAACCTTGGGACTAAGTGTAATGGTGCTATGCAGCCCTTAAAAATTCTAAACTCCTCAAATAACAAATGGGCACCTAAGTCAGATCTGCAGATTGCTGTAGAAATTTCTAGCATGTGTAGGAAGAAGCAAAATAAACATTGTCATGGGTTTCTTGTGACTTACCAGGACACACACCCTCAAGAGGTTCTGAGTGACCACCCAACATAGAGAAGCAATCACTTACCTGCTGCTCAGAGAAATAGGACACTGGAACTGAGCCACTTTGCTTAAAAAAAAAAAGTCCAAACATGTAAATAATCATGCAGCTATAGAATTGCCTCTGCTTTTTCCCCTCCCTCTTATAAATCAAGAACTCAGTGTTTTAGTAAAAAAAAAAAAAAAAAAAAGATTTACTTAGCATTTTTGAGAATAATGTGAAAGGGTTTGTGTGAGAAAACACGCATCTGAAAAATGAAATTTAGAAGCAGAAATGGAAGAAAAAAATTTAAAAATGGTAAATAAGTAATATTTGACTAGGGAGCCAGAGGCTAAAATACAAAATCAAGCTCACAGCTGAAGAAACTATTTATTCTTTATTTGTAGTAAATGTTTCATAACACATCTATTGCTCAGTTTAAGAAGTCAAAAGGCAATCAGCTAAATTTGCTTATTTTTAAAATCCCTTCTTCCCCAAATCTGAGTTTTCCTTTGTAGTTTTCACATTATGATGTAGAACATTTACTGAACAAATATCAATTTAGTTAAAATGATATTAGGTTTTTGATGATCTACCTATTTTTAGCCTAAGGACTAAATGATTTTCTGTATTCACATTTTCATCATTTTAATGAAAATGAGATAATATGCTGTAATAGTATTTTCTTAGATTGTATTAAGGTTATATACTCTCAATTTTTCGTGTATGTGGTGTCATATACTTTTCCTTTAAATAGGATATATTATGAATATGCACATATATTAACAATTTTACTGCTGTAACAGAATGCTGCAAGTATTAATTTTATTATGTTTCTAAATCTTTTTAAAATTATTCTAACATAAGCAGCAATAGAGCTGTAGTACAGCAAAACTTAACTATATAGTTTTGTGGTTAATTTTTAGTTTTAGTCATTACAGTGCCTATTTAATATGAAAAAGTTTATGGCCATTTGTACCTATTGTTAGACAGGAGTTGGAATTTACTCCTCATTCTCTATTCGATGTCAAATATTGAAGGCTGCCTTGATAATGTTTCAAAAATGGTGAATGTCCATTTCTGTTTAACAGTCAAGACACTACAAAAATCTCAGTATGTCAGGTGCATAATGTATTTCAGTTTAGGTCATTGTACTACCATTCAATATATGTATATTTCTGAAATATAATGCTGGTAGATTTACTGTATTTTTAAAGAGGGCCATTAATTCAGCAATATTTTACATGGGATAAACCAGAAATGAGAATGTGACAAACCTTATCGAGGCTTACAAAGTGCTTACCATGTTACTTTAAAAAACTTAAGACTCAAAACAAAATTACATGATAAACACTGTCTTTCACAAATATGACAAATTTTGAATAAATTCCAGTTTTATAGGTGAGCCACGAGCAGGCTTTGTTTGTACAGGAGCATGCTCTTAGGTGGCCATCAAATGCTTCTAGACATATCATGATGTTATGAAAAGCTCTCATCTCCTGATGAGGGACTTTAAACTCTTCATTAACACCACTTTTTGTTTTTACCACAGAAGACCCAACAAATTATTAATATCTTCTCATAAAGGCTTGGATCACATTCTGACCACATTAAGCATTTTACAAAACTTTGCATGTTACAACTGTGTTGCAAATGTATACCAAAACTCATGCCTACTTTTAAGATTATGTAACTACCCTTCCTGGCCTTAAGCTATCCCTCTTGAAATCCTGGTTTAAATATTCCTCTACAATGGACCAAATTCTCAACTGACAAATGTCAACTGACATTTATTGCATTAGATTTGTGTTCATATTTATACCATCAATTAATAATAATTAAATATGTTGGTTACTTTATTAGTGAATGAACTTGGTTATTCTCAATTGGAAAACTTTGGTGTTTTGCAAAGTTTAATCAATAAAAGACTAGTCTTGATAAAAGCACTGCAATAAGACACAATGGTGAAATTACTTTGGAACAACGTATATTCCAGTCCATTTCTGGAGATTTGATTTTTGCGTTGGTTTTCATGGTACTGGAGATAAACCCAGGTCCTCAGGCATGTCAAGAAACACTGTATTGGGCTGGGGATTTAGCTCAGTGGTGCCGCCGCCTGCCTCGCAAGCGCAAGGTCCTGAGTTTGATCCCTGGTACCAAAAAAAAGAAACACTGTATCACTAAGCTTTATCCAGTTTCCTTTCTGAAGATTCAAGATGGATCTTAGGGAAACTAAAGACTCTGAGAGGTCTTGGAAGTAGAGAAACTCATTCCAATTTTTACATTCAATGTTTTCCAAATTTACCTAACTGTGGTGATGGGCACTATTGTCTTCATACACTACATATGTGATGAATAATCATTAAAAGCCAACTCTCTCCAGGTTAAAAGCTATTATCTTACTCTCTACAAAAGTTTATTGTACATTTTGTTTCAAAGACATTATAGTTTTCTAACACTAGAACATTTAAAATTGTTTTATTTTTACTTTATTTTATAATTTTCAGACATTCAATTAAATGGAAGCATACATGAATAATGTATAACTTAACATATAAAAATTTATTTTATAAAAGAGATACCAAACCACGCATTTATCTTTACCTGCCACTGAAAAAAGTTAAAAAATTCAAATATTCTTTGTAATAATCAATGGAATATTTTAACTTATAAAAATAGTATGCATTTTAAATTATTTATAAAGTCAACTTTTATACCATTTAGTTGTCAATTACAAAAGGAATGCATGCATACTATAAAGTACCAGCCACATAATAGGATTTTATCCAAAGTGTTCCTTTATTTATAGGAAAGCTATTCTGGGCTGGGAGTATAGCTCCATGATAGAACACTTTCAAGCTTGTGCAAGGCCCTGGGTTCAATCCTCAGCACCACACCAACGTAAATAAATAAAGGAAAACTACTCTAAATTCATTATATGTAATTTTAAAGAACAATGTTATGAACAGCAAGAATACTAAGATGTATTCCCTTTTGAAGATTAGTATGTTAAGTTTTAATGATGGTATTATAAATATCTAAAAAAAATGAAGATTTTTTTTGAGATGCTGACAAAATTCTAATCAGATTAGTAACACTGTTGTTATAATCCATGATTCTAGAAAGATATGTGTCCTAATCGCTCCTTGGCCTTTTGGCTAAGATCAAGTGAAGATATGTGTCCTTTTAGAACAGTCTGCTTTCCAGCCAGCTAAGAGAGGAACTGAACCAATTTTGTTTTCTTGATCTGACCCTAACCTCAAGGAGCACTATCCCCATAAAGATATTGTTGTCCCAACATCAGCAAAAATTACTGTGAAAAAATATTGCCTAGGAACCTTAATTGGGTGCCAATCTCTATTACTAAAATCTATGTATGTCTGAAACAGAAATAAGCATTTGATGACATATTATAACTTTCTTATGTTAAACATTTTTATTACAGTAACAAATATGAGTAGCTGAAATAGTGTCACCATACAGATTATCACATGCTAGTGCATGATAACGCAATGTTAATTGCACATTGTGTTGACATTTCAAGTATATTCTCTGCAACATTTGTATTCATATACAGGCACATGAGGATAATCTGAGTCATGATTCATGTTAGCAAATGTTTTGCTTTCAAGCTAATCCTCAAACCCAGACTCATCTGCAAAGCCATTAATATTCACATGTTGCAGCAGGTACAGTTGTTATTGTTTGAACTAACAGCTCAGGACCAAGACTTGTTAGTGTTTGAAAGAGAAATATCGGCATCACCTGATTACTTTTCTAACGTAAGCCTTCTTACTAATTTGGGAATTTATTAGTCTACTGAATTTGTCTTCACCAGTATCTTTCAAGTGAGCAGGTGGAGATAAAAGGAAAGCTTTATGAAGCTCTCCTTAGATAATACAGCCCCGTTGCTACAGAATGTAATCTGAGTAATAGTCTTTCAATAGACTATATATCTATCATAGACAAAAACCCATCAAATCCACCAAAAATGGCAGCAATCTCAAACTATGCATTCTGATTTACTATACTAATGTTGGGGCTGCAAGACTGTTATTTATGGCAACATATCTGGCTTTATATGGATCCAGAGAATTGGTGATATTTCAGAAATGAAACTTCAACTTGGTTCCTAAAAATTTCAGCACACAAACTGAACTTGGTCCAATAACATATTTTGTCTAAATTTTATTGTTGCTGAGGCAAAAATACATCACACACTTTAAGGAAAAATAATGAATGTTTAAAAGGCAGGACTTCTCTTCTTTTGATTTTGTCCATGCAAAGTCCAAAGGAAAGTTAGAGAAGAAGAAAAAGAAGCCATGTAAGGAATAAAATTTTCATTATGTATATATTTCTAAATTTTAAATTTATTTATAAGTTAAACACCAATCAAAGCATTTAAATAATAACCAAGATTTAGATAATATGGCCCTTGAAAACTTAAACTCAATTTTAAGAGAAAAGCAAATATTCAAAAATTATCAGGTCACAAGAACACAAGAAATTGTATAGTTATACTTTTTATTGTTTAACACTTACAACCAAGAAAACTAAGACTCAAATTGTAAGTTAGGATTACAAAACATAAAAGGAAATTATTTTCTGTCACTTTTGAGGTATTTCCTATCTTTTTAAAGAATATACATTTAAGAATGAACCAGTACTTTACAGAAAATTAAATAATGAAGTTTTTGCAAGTATCAATTTTTTGGTACTCTGACAAGGTTGAGTATTATATAAATTTAGACTTAAGAGAATTTTTACACAACATGACTTTGCTATCTTAAAGGAGGAAGCATTTGGATTAATTTACATTAAAATATCTGAAATTTCAAGTTAGATAACAAAATTCCATACTCATCTACTAGTCAAAAAGAGAAAATGAAATCCTTTCTTGATGTCTAGAAGTTGCTCTTATCTAATTCTGCATACATATGAGGTGGAACCAAAGAGTTTTCATTGGGTTTGGTTCGGTTTTAATTGTAGGGAGGAGAAACTAGTGGAAACTTTTTGCATATTTAAACCTAATTGAGACACATGATATAAAATCTGTACGATATTTGCCTCTTATGGTTAACAAGAGATATTCAATTACGTACTAGACAAAAGTTCCTCATGCCATCTCCATATTTGATCTTGTTACAATTTAAGTTTTACATATTCAAGGTAAATAAAATGCTAGTGAAATAAAATTTTTTCCTAGTAAAACTAATCAAAATATGAATCACAGTAGTACCTTCAACCAGTTATATAAAGGAATGGTAACTAATATATAAGGCTGGATTATTTAAGATGAAAACTAATTTGTAGTCTCAGACTTTATTTGTGGGCGATAATTTAAAATAAAAAGGTTGCTTCATCTCAATCTTAATTTCAGAAAGCATTTTCTCTTAAGATTTACCAAATGAGTAAGGGGCACGCTTTCCTATAACAGAATGAAAATGTATTTTGATTTTAAGTAAACCAAATTCTCTTCTAAAACCCTCTGATGAAAAAGTAGTTTCAGAGTTTTTCAAATATGTAAAGCTATTTCTCTTTTATGAGACAAACAGAGTGAGAGACCTGTATTATCATTTATGCTGATATGTTTTATAAAAAATTTATAATCAAAACTAAGAAATATTTTATACCTCTAAAACACTTCTGTGGCCTCTTGAGACGTCCTTGGTTCATTATTATGTCCTCTTTTCTTAGTTGCTCATTAGGGAATGGCACTGCAGCACTCACAGTCCACAGTATACCAGGTAGTATATGTAAGTAATGAGCACATGGCTTTTATTCACAACTTCACCATATCAAACTCAATCAGTATAAATAGGCAAATGTGGGTAATAAAGTTCTAGTGCTTAAAATAAGGCCAGACTTGAGTAGCTGGAGAAATGAAATTTGTTCATTAAACAGCTGAGTAGTTTCGTTCATTTAAATTTATTCTTAGCTTTCAATTTGTGCGTGTGCGCACATGCCTTTATTCTCATCTATTTTAAATAAAATTTCATTCTTGTACAACTAAAGACAGAAGTTCTAATGCATACACTGTAGCAAATTAAAGAATCATTTGGACTGAAGCTAAAGTAAGGACATGGCCAACAAACTGGGTTTATACTATTTATCAGTCATTTCAAGTTGTGTCTCCTTTACGGCCACATCATGAATTTAAAAGACAAATGACTAAAATTACTCCACAAAACGATTTATTGTTGATCATTCTTATATATTAATTTCATAATATCCCAACTTTTGCATTATTTATTCTAAGAAATGTGCAACATATTTAAAAATTTATGGAGTTACACACACTACATTAACTTCCTTCAGTCCTGATATCCTTATTCTTCTTCCACAGAGACAAGCACATATTATTTGGAAATGCACTAGCAAGAAAAAGTCCACTGAATGTGGATGTTAGGTAGTCATAAAGAATCAAGTAACCAGCAATAATTTAGGAAAAATCCAATTACCTTGGACTAATACTCTCTCAGAAAATGACTTTAAAATCAAAATATATGTAACTTCCAACCTTGTGTTGCCTGCTCTCCAAACTGTGAATTAAAGCAGGCCAATTTGCCTGCCTCAGTTCTCCTGCTTTGGGCTATATCTAGATTTACTGGAAATAGCTTTTATGATATTAAAAGGAATTAAAACATTCACAAATTTTACAGATTTACAAGCCATTTGAGAAAGAAGTTTAAATACATTTCTAAAAGGTAAATATTGCTCTTTCTAGGGAGTTCCATCAATACTGCTGTTTATATTTTTATGAAAACCTGAAAGCTCACTCATTGGTTTTAAAAAACTGTAAGCCAGAAAAGGAAGTAAATTGCTATGAAACTTATTCATGATAACATTGGACAAAATGATACTGTACACTAATTTTTTAAAAAAACCTTCAAGGGTAATTCAATGGCTAGTAATATGTGTTATCTGAATTTTCTGTTCACAATCATGTAGCTTATTTTCTGTGGTGTAATGAGAAACAAATGTAAATTGGCCTCAACACTGTGAGACTTAGAAAGGATAACACATTACCTATAACACCAAAATGAGTTTGAAGTGTCAACTCTTCTGCAAAAGAACTATATTTAACCATCAGCTCAGCCCATCAAAGATATTTTCTAAATAGAAATGAGAAGCATGAGACAAAAGCCATAAGAAGGATTCTGTCAGTACTATCTTTTTGTATTCCTTTATGTAACTCCTTATGAAAAGTAAAAATAAAAGTGAATTTACATTTTATTTTTAACCAACTAGATTGTCTTCCACTTTAGATCATAATATGATCTTAATACAGCCTTACTTAAAATGCACACTATTATTAAAATGCACACTATATTTTCACATGGAGGAGTTAAAACGTTGGAGAGTCAGGCTGGAATTTTTTTCTAGTACTGTACAGTGTTCTATAGTAATGATAAACCCGTTTTATGTTTAATCCTATCATCAAGGAACATCAGGCTTCTAAATCTTTTGTGTTTTATTCTAAATGGCTAATGTGAGTGAGAGAAATAATAAGGTATTATACTATTAATGCTTTAAGTCAAAAGCTGTGTTGTCTAAAAAATAATTTACACTGCAATGGGATCTTCAATATCAATTCTTTTTTATATAATCTGCAGCAAAAATAACATTTCTAGCAGGAAGGAGTCAATTATAAACTTAGCAAACTCTAGACATTCACATTTTGTGTAAACAATTTAACACAGTTTATTACATTTTCAGAAAGGCTAATCTTATATTCAGTTTTCTGCTTTTTCATATATTATAATAAATATATATGTTATTTGAGTGACTGTGTGTATGTATTTTCACACATATACATATCATATATACATAAAACAGCACTTAACGGTCACCTTCTTTGCAGTTTCAACTTGAGGAAATAAATGAATTACTATTATGCATAACCTATGGCAATCTTCCCTTCAGTTTCACAAATGGCCATATCGGGATGTAAACAAAACATTAGATCGAGTCATTCCAGATGAACTGTATTTCATGTTGTACGTTGGGGTTCTCATGAAGAATTGGGTACTTCCTGGTAGTAAATACCTAAAAATAATGATAAAAATTAGATTATTACAAGCAACCTGGCATTAACACCATTCACTAAAGTGTTATATGGTTAGTGACTGACATATCCTACACACAAAAAAAATGTTACTATAACAATGATACAATTCATATAAAAAGATTTCTTCCTAAGATTTTGAGGAGAGGCCATAGAATCTCACTGGAATCTGACTATAGATACAACATATGATATTAGTATCCCAAATTCACCATCATTCCCTGTAAGTAATGTGTGAAGCCAGTCAAATATTTAAAACACATTGATGAGCCACATTAAAAATAATTATTTGTTTCAAGGATATTGTAGGTACTGATTATAAGTTAATAATAATGATGTATTATGAATATAGGTAGTCTAAAAGAAAAGGTTCAAAACATTCATAGCTAGATTACAGAATTTTTATATTCTCAGGCCATATAGTGCTTATAATTATAGGTTACATATACCCCTTGCAACCAAATGTATTTCAGAATATGTGATTTGCCTAGATTGTAGAAAGATAGTGTAGTGCATATACTAAGTAACATGTCCATCAGGGCTTTTTGCAGCATCCTGTAAATGAACCATTGATATTTACTCAGTAAAATGCATGAGTATTCACAATAAAGCAGACAGATCAAGATCATAAATATCTTTGTATTAGTTGGCTTTCCCATCACTGAGACACAATGCCTGACACACAACTTAAAAGGAAGAGAGGTTTAATTTGGCTCACAATTTCAGCAGACTCAGTCCATGGATGGCTGCCTCCAAGGCAGAAACATCATGATGGAAGGGTATTGCACAGGAAAGACACTTAGTTAATGGTGCTGGGAAGCAGAGGTGGGGAACAGTGCCAGAAAGAGGCCAGGGACCACATTTAGTACCCAAGGTCACACCTGCATGATCCACTGAGACACACTCAGAGGTGTGCTCTACTAATCCCCTAGGCCAGTAGTCTCCAACATTTCTGGCACCAAGGAGTGGTTTAATGGAAAACAATTTTTCCACCAGAAGGGACACTAGGAAGAATGGTTTCGGGAAGATTCCACAGAGCAATCTAGATCCCTCATATGCACAGTTCATAGTAAGTTTTGTGCTCCTATGGGAATCTGATGCCACAGTTGATCTGACAGGAGGCAGAGCTCAGGCAGTAATGCAAAATGCAACCAAGAGGAGCAGTTGAAAATAGAGATAAAGCTTCACTCACTCAGCTGCAGCTCACCTCCTACTGTGTGGTCCAGTTCCTAACAGGCAATGGTCAAGCAGTTGGTGACCCCTGCCCTAGGTGGCTCTCAAGCCACTTAAGTTGACAAGAAGCTTAACCACCACATTCCACCATTTATCAACATGACTCCCAAACACATCTGCTGGAATCATACTTCATCCCCAAATAAACACAAGGTCACAAATGAAACATAATTATCTCTTCCCCGACATCCCAACAGTTCCAGCATTTCTAAAAAGTCCAAGTCCAAGTCTCCTCTGAAACTGAAAGCAAACTCTTAACTGTGAATTTCTGTAAAAACCTAAATGAACTTAAATAACCCCAATATACAATAGTACAGGGTAAACATTCCCATTCCAAAAGGGAGAACTAGGAGAATAGAAAAGAATAGAACCAAAACAAGACCAAACATTAAGGCCATGTCTCCATCTGGAAAACCCAGTAGTGCAATGTAAGTTCTAAAGTGTGTGGGCAGCCCTTATAGCCTTGCTAGTTGAAGACCACATGGCTCTTCTCTTATGCTGGTCCACTCCTTGTCTGTGGCTTTCCCTGACAGACATTACACATCCCTTGCATTTCCAACTTCACAGGGTCTCCAAGCACTTTTAGCTTCATTCCCACAAATTAATTCATGCACTGCCCTCTCAAGGGCTCCTTGCCTGGCTTCCCAGGCCTTTCTTTGAAATCATAGTGGAAGTCTCCATAATCCTACAACTGTTATACTACTCTACATATCTATAAAACTAGCATCCACATGCATGATGCCACAGTCTTCCATCAGCTGAAGCTGTATCAAGGCCCGCTTCAACCATGGCTTCAGCAGCCTCTGAATGTGTAGATGGCTGAACATTGAAATAAAGGAAACCAATTCTCTAGTTGACCCTTCTTAAGCAGAGCGCCCAGGGAGACTCTTAAGTGAAAGGTTTATACTTTTGCACCCTTAAGCTTCATGTATAGGATCATGCTGATTTTTGAGATACTGTAAAGGTATGTTTATTCTTGTCCTTCTACAAAGTACTGGGTTTCTTTTATATGCTGTTAATCTTTTCTACAAACACATCTCCTGTGGCTCCAACTTTACATATGGGTTTTGTAGACCAACATTTAAGGTTTTCAAATTTTTCTCCTTTCCTTTTTTGCCCCTGGTTCTCACTGTAAATTTGGCTGAAAGCATTCAGAATTACCTTGCCATGGTCTGAATGCTGGGCTGCCTTGAAATTTTCTCCACTAGATCAATTAGTCTACCACCCTTAAACTCAGCCTCCTACAGACTCAGGACATGGGATAAGTATATACAAATTTTTATTAAAGAGTAGCATGCATGGCCTGTAGCCTAATTTCCAAAAGAATCCTCATTCCTAACCAAAACCTCATAAGTCTGTCCATATTCCTATTACCTTTCTGATCTCTGACCAGAATCACCCATGAAACTCTGCTTGCAACATCCTAGGGCTTCTCTAGCCTGCATTTCAAAAGCTTTCCAAAATACTCCTGTATACCAGTTCCAAAGGCTTCCTAACCACATGGTCAGATAAAGTCAACAACCCCAATTCTCCAGTATCAATTTTTTGCATTAGCAAGTTTTCCCATAACTGAGACACAATATCTGACAAGATATTACAAGAGGACAGGTTTTTATGGTTTTGGTTTTGGTTTGTTTTGTGGCACTCAGAATTGAACTCAGTACCTTTTAAAATTTTTGAGACAAGGTCTCACAAAAGTGCCCAAGTGGAATTCGAACTTGGGATCTTCCAACCTCAGCCTCCTAGAGTGCTGCAATCACAGGACATAGTTTAATTTGGCTCAGGATTTCAGGGAATTAAGTCCATGGTCGACTGCCTCCTCCAAGGCAGAAGAACATGCAGAGCAAAGATGCTTAGTCCATGGCACCCAGACAAACTGTTCCAGAGAGGATGAGGCAAGGTACCATATATAGCACCCAAAGTCAGGCCTCCATGATCCACCCAAATACACACAATAGTGTGCTTTACTCATCCCCTAAGTGGCCCCCAAGCCAGTCAATTTAGCAATTAAGTTTAATCACCACATACTATGTCAACTCAGGACAGATTTGCCAGCAAATGTGTCCTTTCTTTTTAAGCTTTGGAAATTGGGAACAGAAAATCAGAAACTGCACCAGATTTATCTTTTCCCATGAAAGGCCTTGGTTGGCATTTTGTCAGTTTAATCTACATGTCTAGGGAGAAAGAATTAAGGAAATCCACATGAACAAATGCAAATAAATAATACTACTCAAACTGTAATTCCAAGAAATAAAAGGAGAACATGATATAAAGTTAGGACCAAAATATCTATGAAGTTTCCAACAGCAGAAGTATCAATAGAATAAGACTGATAATTCACAGTGATCTTGGAAAAATAAACAATGGTAAGCATATCAAAGGATTTATTTTATTTTCTTCAGTTCATTAGAATCACTGAGTATCATAAACTCATAATTATGTGAAAAAAGTGAAGGCCAAGAATGTATTGGCCACTATCTATGTGAAATAGTACTGATAACTGTGAGACCACTCTGTCAATAGAAAATTACATTCATAGTTGTTTAATATGAATTCTGAAAATTAATGCATTGTAATAAAATCGCGTATAACAGATTAAAATAGAATTTTCCATAATATCCATAAACATTATTTCATCATGAATTATCTAATAATATATACTAAACCTATTACCTAATATCACAAACTATAAATTATTGCTCAAATCATTAAGTTAATAGAGCAGTAAAATAATACACAACAAACTAAATTAAATCAAAATTCCATAATGGATGATGAATAATGAAACAATTGATTTCTCACATCACAGATTACATAAATTATATCTTAATATCACTTGGGTAATTTATATGGATTAATTATTATATCAAGAGCTAATGGAGTCATAATGATTAATTTGATACCTTTTGCTGTGAAAAGGCTTACCTTCCTATCTATGGCAAAGATGCAAAATAAACTAAGGTGTTTAAAAAAAACCCACTATTCTGTATTAGTTGAGAGTTGTTCTTTCTTTTGACAATGCGTTCTGACACACTGGTAATTACACAGTAAATAGTAACTTCTACCACCTTTCTCCCAAAGGATTTCCAAGTAACTGTCACTACTGACATTTCAATGTTAATATAAACTTCTGAGTTAACGATTTCCATTTAACACATGGAAAAATAAAATCACAAAGTCTAGAACCACAGCTAACTTAAATTATTTTATAAAACAAATATTTAAATAGTGTTTTCTGTGGGCCCAGAACTATTCTAATTGCCTTACAAATATTAATTCATTTAGTTCTCATAGAAAATCTATACAGTAGATATTATTACTGGCTACATTTATAGAAGAATAAACTTCATGAAGCATAAAGGGGTCGAACGCCTTTCCTGTGGTCACATAACTATTGAGTGAAAGAACCAGAACTCAAACCTGCAGAGCCTCGCTCCAGCACCAGTGCTCCTCACTACTATCCTGTTGCCATGACAATTTCACATAATTGTTACTGTATATGAATCACAATTTTTAAACTAATGGGTTCAATTATTATGTATTTTTTCAGAAATATGGAGTATAAAATAACCTAGACAATAGAAAAGTATTCTATAGGCCACAAACTTAAACTTTTTAGTGGAAGCAGAAAAAGTTAAAATGAAGCTTTTTTAAGACCTATAAGAAAAAAGTACAGTATGAACTTAAAAAGCATATGAAATTTCACAGAAAAACTTTGCTTACCTGAAGCAAGTGCTGTGGGATATTT